CTTTTTTTTATTACGATTGAAAATAATTTTATTTTTTTTAATTGGAATTGGTTATAAGTTTAATTTTTACTTTGATATACTTATTTATTATTCTATATATGAAATAATATGAATGTTGAATCAAAAATCATCAAGAAATACTTCATTTGATATTTGATGTATGATAATTAATAATAAATAAAAAATTTATCAAATTTCACATATTAATAAGAAACCACATATAACACTCATACATATAATGATGTGGTAAGTGAACATTATTGACTTACATATGTAAGATCATGAACATAGGAAAATGAACATACTACATAGGATATCATACAGAAAAGTCTGCATTCATATGATATTATTTTGTTTGTTTTGATTTTATAAGTAGAAGCAAGGAAAATAGGTAAACCTTGTGAAGTCAAAAAAATGAATGGGAGAAAAAATAAAGTAAGTTTTACTACTTCACCCTTAATGTATGAAATATAAAAAATAAAATAAAATAATCTATATATATATAATTGCTGGCAAGGTTCAATAAATTTTATTCAGCCGACAATTAATAATAATATGAGTTCATTTAATAAAAATATGTGTTCATTTACTAAAAATATGTAACTTTTTTTTTTCCCGAAACGATAGGATCAACTATTATAACACTCAAAGGCGAACAATGTTCGAATACACCGGATAACAAATACAGAGAAACATGAGAGACACGTCATGGACGGTCTAGAGCCTCGACTGGAATACACAAAAAGTCTCAAACTACCACAAATAGAAAAAAGAAAGCAACCTTCACCACTGCTAATAGCCTAGCAACAAGTTACATTCCCCTGAACAAACAAGCACACTGAAAAATAGAAAGAAAAGGGATCACAGCCAAACAACAAAAGAACTAGGAAGCAGCTAAGAATTGAAGCCAATCCGAATGAGCCATTCTGACAAGAACATGATATGGAATGAAGGTCTTTTGGAAGATCCATAAGTTTCTGGACTTCCAAAGCCACCAAAGTATATATGTGGAGAGTTGAATCCGAGCTTCAGCTATTTCCGAGTGATTCATTGAACAGACTCTATACCACCAATCTTTGAAGGAGATATCCCTGCTGCTTAGGTCAGTCCACTGAACTGGACAGAGTTTCCAGACATTCTGAGCTCTTGGACAAGAAACAAAGAGATGTTGCAGAGTTTCTTGATCTTCACCACAGATGGCACAGGTTATGTCAATTTGCATTCTCCTTTTCCAGAGATTAGTGGCAGTAGGAAGAGTGTCACTGAGGCATTTCCACATAAAGAGTTTAAGTTTAGGTGCTACCTTTATATGCCAGAACCTCATTTTAGCATGCTTCTTGATGTTAGAAGCACTGCTGCTTTCAGGAAAATCAGCCTGCAAGAGTTTTTGATGAGAAAGGTGTCTATATGTACTGGACACTGAAAAGACTCCTTTTTTATCCAAGCTCCAGTATTGCCTATCATTTCTGTCTGGATGTAGAGTGTTTATCTCAAGAATAGCAGTGCTATTTGCAGCATCAAACACTTGATGGACCAGCTAGTCATTCCAGTGAGAGCCATTAGGCTGCAACAACTCCCTGACCCAGATTAAGTGTCCTTGAGCAATAGGAATTAGTGTGGGAGAGGGCCTCTGCAGTTTAGGAACCCAATTATGATCATCAATTCTGGTGTTTAGCCCATTTCTGATCTCAATTTTGAACCATTTGGTAAACAATGGTAAGACATCCATCCAGCTGTTCCACATCCATGATCCCCCTTTGATTTTAGTTGCATTCACAATAGAAGAGTGGGGGAAGTATCTATCTTTCAGCACTCTGCTCCCCAGGAGATCTGGGTTAGTGGCAACTCTCCAGAGCTGCTTGCAAATTAGAGCTTGGTTAAACAGCTGCAGATCATGGAACCCAAGGCCTCCTGATTGCTTTGGTAGTGTGAGAAAACTCCATTTTTTCCAGAATATGCCCTGGCCCTCTTCAGAATTTGATTTCCACCAGAAGTTAGCACAAAGTTTGGCAAAGTCTGCACATAAGGTGACTGGCAACTTGAAGCAAGACATAGAGAATATTGGAAGTGCCTGAATTACTGCTTTCAGAAGAACAGCTTTGCCAGCAGAACTGAGAAGCTTGCCCTGCCAACCAGAGAGCTTTTTCTTAACAGCTTGGAGTATATAGTCAAAAACTTCTCTCTTGTTTTTGCCAATGCCCAGTGGGAGACCAAGATACCGAGTTGACCTGTGAGTGACAATGCCATTCAGAGTTGAGCAGATGGTGGACTGAAGGATCTGAGGAGTATTCTTGCTAAAGAAGATAGCAGATTTGTGTAAATTCACTGCTTGGCCTGTGAAGAGCCTGTACTGGTCAAGGATATTCATGAGGATGATAGCTTGATCATTTCCAGCCTTGCAGAAGAAGAGGGAATCATCTGCAAAGAGGAGGTGAGAGAGCAAAGGGCCATTTCTGGAGATTTTCATCCCTTTGAGCAGTCCAAGATTAACAGAGTTCAGAATTAAAGCAGATAAAAGCTCAGCAACAATTATGAAGAGGTAAGGGGATAATGGATCTCCTTGTCTTATGCCTCGGGAAGGAGATATATAACCACTCAAAGAACCATTGATTTTAAAAGAAAATGTTGCAGAGGAGACACATATCATGATAAGCTTCACAAAATCCATATGGAAACCCATTTGCAGCATAATCTTCTTCAGACATAACCATTCCACTCGGTCAAAAGCTTTAATCAAATCCAATTTCAGAGCCATGAAAAAGTTTGGTCCAGAGTTGTGTCTACTTAAAAAATGGAAGGCTTCTTGGGCAACAATCACATTATCAACAAGTTGTCTACCCTCAACAAAAGCAGCTTGGTAAGAACTGATGCAACTTGACAAGCAATTCTTCAGTCTAAGGGCTAGAATCTTAGATACAATTTTGTAAACAACACAGCATAAGCTAATAGGTCTGAACTGCCCCACAGAGTCAGGTGATGGACATTTTGGGATTAGAGAGATTACTGTGTGGTTCCAGAATTTGAGAATCTTACCTGAGCTGAAGAAGCTTTCAATTGCTGCTAAAATGTCCTGCTTTATGAGGGGCCAAAAATGTTGGTAGAAGGCTGCTGTCATCCCATCTCCTCCAGGAGATTTATCAGGATGGAGACTGAATAATGAGTTCTTGACTTCTTCTTCCTCAACAGGCTTGAGTAAGTCCTGATTCATATCAGCTGTGATTGAGGTGGGAATGTGAGGAAGGATGGATTCCCCACCCCAACAACCTTCAGATGAGAATAAGTTCGAGTAAAACTCCTCTATATGCTTCTCTATCTCCCTCTGGGTGGTGAAGATATTGCCTTGTGGGGAAACCAATCTGGTGATGGCATTGTATCTCCTTTTTTGCATAGTAAGGGTGTGAAAAAATCTGGTATTGGCATCCCCATCCTTCAACCATTTAGATTTGGCCTTTTGCTGCCAGTACAGCTCTTCCTGCCTGTGAGCATAATTCAATGATCTTCTTGTTGACTCCCATTCCTCCCAATTAATGGCTGCATTATTTTGATTCAGAGACTCAAGCTTAACAGTGAGAGCAGCAATGGTTTTCTGACCTTCAGTGTGGAAAGAGGAGCTCCATTTAAGGAGAGCTATTCTGGTGTTCTTAACCTTCTCTTTGAGTTGGAAGAAAGGAGTGCCTTGTACCTCTGAAAGCCAAGCTTGCTTGACTACCTCTTCACATCCTTCCCTTGTCAACCATCTCCTGTCAAAATGGAAACTTGTTTTAATTCTTTCTCTAGGCAACCCCAAATTTAGAGCCAGTGCAGAGTGGTCAGAGGCACTTCTGATCAGATTTGTGACAGTTGCATTTGGGTATTGCTGGATCCAGCCCAGAGAGCCAAAGCCTCTATCTAATTTTTCTTCTACTAGGTCAGGGATAGCTCTGTTGTTGCTCCAGGTGAAAGGGGGTCCCAGCATTTTGATTTCCTCCATGTCCATTCCTCTGATGAAACTTTGGAACCCATTGAAAGAATTGGGAGTTCTGAGCATACCCCCTTGTTTATCTTCACTTGAAAGGATATCGTTCCAATCTCCTATGGCAAACCAGCTATTACCCCATGATGGTTTATCCCTGAGAAGGCTTTCCCATTGGGTAATTCTGAGGCTTCTGATGGGGTTTAGATAGACAAAAATTCCCCAATGAGGAGTAGGGGAGGTCAGCAAAAACTCCACAGCTATATAATACTCCTTACATATAATTTGCTTAATGGTTATTTGGGAATTCCAAAACAAAACCAGTCCACCAATGCAACCTAGAGGGTCTACTGTGATGAATCTGTCTGAAAAACCCAGTTTTTTGCTAACTGTATTAATAAAGGCTTTTGATTTTTTTGTTTCAGAAAGGAAGAGAAAGGTTGGGTGATGAGTTCGCAGCAACTCTCTGATTTGGGAAATTGTAGAGGGCCCATCCAGCCCTCTACAATTCCACACCATAGCTAGCATTGATCACTTGGGTGCCATTCCAGGCTGGCAACCTCCACCTTCTGAGCATCTTCTTGAAGTTTGGGTATTGTGTCCTGTTTCTGAAGTTTTGAATCTTTGGATGAGGATGGAAGCTCACATTCTGCAGAAGTTCTCTTCAGTCCTGAGACATTGTCAATCACAATTGGTATGACAGGTTCCCTGAGTAGTCTGCCAGACTTGTTTCCCAATCTTTTCCATGTTTTTGTAGGGCCAGTGGATTTCCTTGTTATGAGTGTGGAAGGTTCAGTGTTTTCTAGTTCCATCAAAGCTGCTTTATCCTTATCTGCTGGGTTAGGTTCAGCCAACACTTCCTCAGGAATTGGTGTTTTGTTTTGAGAAGAGATAGATAATGCAGTAGAGAGCTTAACAGAAGAAGGAGAGGATTGAGAATCTACTGAAGCTTGAATTGAGTGAGAGGGGTTGACTTCTGGAATAGTGATTATCTGATTGTTCTGGTCTTCCTGGGTTGGGGGTGTTCTTTGTGTTCTCATGGGATCAGGAGCAGATGTAGGGGATGAAGTAGGTGAGCTTCTATTTCTTGAATGACTTCCTCCGGGCCATTTCTGTCCTTCGGTAGCTTTCAGCCAATCACCATATTGCCCTTCTTTAAGAGATTTGTCTTTGATATCCTGAAGTCGTGTCTGGCAGGTTCTGTCCAAATGCCCTATTTTGCCACAGTAGTGGCACAGGTTCATGAGCTTTTCATACTTAAAACCCACACTTACTATTTCCTCACCTAAACGGATGTGGGCTACTCTGGGAATAGGCTCATCCAGATTCAGGGTAACCAGGAGTTTCAGCATTTTCCCTCCATGACTGCCATTGTTCACCATGATTACATTGTTCACTTCCTTAAAGGTTCTCCCTATCTTCAGCCCCACATCGGCGCTTAACCAGTTAAGAGACAGATTTGTGACTTGGACCCATAAGTTAAGCTCACTAAAGCCGGGATGTTTGCTGCTGAGATTGCGAGACCATTCTCTCAGGATTAAGTACTGATTTTCGAAGCTCCAGTTGGAGCCGCTCGCTACCCGATTTTTGTCTTCTTTGCTTTGGAAGATGAACTGGAAGTAGTTCGGACTGAGTTCCTTCACCTCCATCTGTTGATTTAGCCGCCATATCTGAGACATTGCTCGTTTGACACCGAACCAGCCCACAACTCTGTCCCCTATAACTTTCCCAAATAAACTCCTTTGGCATTCATCGTCGCTCAATCGTATATCTTCCTTTGCGATATCAATGACGTTAATTTCCCTTTCTGATAAGGAGAACTCATTTAATCGAGATGACAGTTCTTCATCAAGACAGGTATGCGAGGTGCCTTCCATTTCTAGAGCCCTAGAAGAGAGGGATATCAACAGGAAAAGGCTGGTCGACAGTAATGGATGCAATGAGAGATCTGAATAATACGAAAACGATTGAAGAAGAAAGAATACTGAGAAGATCAGATTCCGAGCATTGGTGATGAAAATCGCTCCCAACGGGAGAATCGTGAGCTCTCAGCGAGAGAATCCACCTTAACTGGTACAAATAAAATATGTAACTTTCAATTGCACAATTTATTTGACATGTCCCATTTTGGAATGTGGTCATTTCTGTAACGTCATTTTATTTCTTGAAATACAAAATATTTTTGTTTTTATTTTGATAATATATATTTTTTAGTATTATATAAATACATCTTTCATGACTAATTATAATGACTACAAATATCTCTATTTTCTATTACATTCATAGAATAATAAAAAACTATTTTTTTCGGATATTACAAAGATACATCATATATTTTGAAAAATCAAAATCCCAGAGTAACGAGTCGAGGGGGTTTAACGATAGTTATTTGTTGTGATGGGGATTCTGACGATAGGAAAACCATGAATATTGAATATAAGGAAGTGTTTAATAATATTTAGATTCACTTTTTTAAATTATTTTTTTTCTCATTTATTAAGTTATGATTTTTATTTTATTCTATATTTTTTTATTACTATCTCTTTTATTATACCTCTTTTCGTACAAATGCACTGGGTAAAACTAGTTTAATTAATAGGAGCATAGTTGTAAAGCCCCATTTTTTAAGTGAGAAATACTAATTTATTTTTCCAAAAATCAGAGTTAGTTTTTCAAAAAAATCAAATTAAAGATTTATTTAATGGGTGCTACTCAAATATCCACATTAAACAGTTTAAGTCAGTCACTTAATCAAGGGAGTACAAATATCCCGAAACAAATATCTCATGCCAACATTCAACATGGTTCAACAATTAATCAATCATATGAAACATTTCAATTCATAATACCAACATGATATATAATCAAATCATAGTCAAATCCCAAATTCATCAATCCATGTTCTAATTTCAAGCATGCGATAATGATCCAAAAGCATGATTCAGATTTTCAAACAATAATAATACATGCCTGACAATGAGATAGTAAACAATAAAATAAGCGGAAGCAGGTAAAACAGTTCAATAACACATAAATGACCCCGCCTCGTTAGTCTTTCGCCACGGCCACCAACTCAACCTGAAAAGAGGGTAAATAGTGTGAGTGAGCGACCAACACGCTCACCGTGGGAATAGCATCCAGTATAATCAATATAAAGACTTAAAATCATAATCGCAGCATGTAAGCAAATCGACTAGACTAACTGTAATCCCCCGTTCGATTATCAGATTTTTCAGATATTTTATTGGCATGAATATTTATTTATTTTATTTGATTGCCAAAGTGATGTTATTAATTGCTATATATATATATATATATATATATATATATATATATTTATATATATATATATATATATATATATATATATAATACCGGACTAATTAATATTTTCGGATGTCGTGATTTATTTTCCGAGCGTGGTATATATATAATATCGGAATAAATTAATCGAGAAATCGAGCCCGAGAGCTGGCCCGAAGAATTGCACGCATCGAACCAGCGCCCAGCGAACCGAGGGAACCGGCCCAACCGAACTGGCAGCCCGACCCGTTTTCCTCCTAACTGTGTGTGTCTTGAGAACCAGTGAGAAAAACCCTAGCCTAATATAAATCGTGCGCTCCTTCTCTCTCTCAAATTATAGCCGCAACTCATCTCCCTCTCTCGTCTCTAACACGCCAAACATAAAAGAGAATAATTATGTCGTTCCTCCTCTTCATTACTCTCGATCTCGATCACGAGAGAAATAAATCTCTCGCAGCAGAAAAAGAAAAATAATCTCACCAAAATTCCGTCAGCACCAACGACCCTTTTTCCTCTCTCGCAAGGAAAAATCCCGTCTCCCTCACGATTGGAAACCTCTCGCAGACTCGTCGCCATCCTCCTCCATTCGCGACCATTACCTCTGGCGGGTCCCTTCCACCGGCGATCAGAACCATCCGCGAGCAAGCCCAACTCTGACGACGTGGAAGAAAAACCTGTCGCGAGCCCCTTCTGGCGATCCTCCGCCGTGACCAGTCCATCTCCGCCGTCGCCGCCCTCATCCTCTGCGAGCAAACCACCACAAGCCGCTGCCGCTCCGCCTCGTCACAGCGCCTTCGTGAGCAGGCCGCACCCCGACGACCCCTGCCATCGCGAGCAGCCCGACGACCCTCTGCGCGTGTAACTCCCGGCGACCCTCTGTGCGCGTAACTCCCAGCGACCATCACGACCAGGACAAACCAAGCACCTTTGCTCCTCCGTGAGTCCACCGGCAAGCCGAGCGTGAGCCGTCGAGCCTCGTTGTGCGTCCCGTCAACCCTCGTTCCGTTTTTGAGCGCCATCCCGAGAACGGTATCGAGACTCGATCCCTCATTAAATTATTTTACGTGTTATGTATTATGAATAGCTTAATGTTCATATTAAGTGTTATATTCATGATTGAGCTTAAGTGTATGTATATATGTATTGTTGATGTTATATATTATTGTCGTGTTATGTGTGATCGTTGTCGATTCATGTGAATCGAACGAGAACACATTGGAATCGTGATTAGTCACTGTGGATTTGGAACGGTTGGAAGTCCTAGGCCTTATGGTGAAGGCCTCGGACAAGTTAAATGATTTTTGAGCCGGTTATGATTTATCGAGCATGATTAAACGCTGTTTAGATGTTAAATTCATCATAAATTGTATGCTGCTCCAAATAATGTGAATTTTTGTGTGAGATGTCCTCTGGTAATCATGCATGTTGTATAAAAATTTCAGATTAAAATACTAACTGTAGCTATTTCAATAAATTAAAGTGATTTTTGGGCAGAATCGTGTTAATTGCATAGTAACTTGGGCTGTGCTCCAAATTTGTTGAAATTTGAGTACGTTGTCTCTCTGTCATATTTACATGTTGTTTAAAATGTTATGAGTTTTTGGACTTCGTTTGCTAGGGTTAAAAATTGTTTAATGAGTTCTGCAGAAACGTGAATTAATTATGATAAATCGACCTGATGTTGTAAATTGCTGAATTTCTGTGTATGGGTTTATTATGTGATGTGTTTCATGTAGTAAAAATATCAGATTTAGTTGAATTTATTTTGGTTCGGTGTTGATGAGAATTCAAATTCTGCAGAATCTTGTTTTAATTTTATAATTTGTGTGTTTATTGTTAAGAACCGGAATGTTTATATGTTGTTACTCACATGCTGTAGCTACTTGTGTATAAATTTTAAGTCATAATTCATTCATTAGGTCCGGTTGTGAATTTATGTTCGTTTTTGCTGTAAACTTGTTTGAATTTTATAAAATTGTGTGTTTTGAGTTAAGGGCTAAAATTTGGTGTTTTGACTAAGTCCAGTGAATGAATTTTATGTTAAAATTTCAGAGCCTAACTCGTTGGTTTGCTGGACCAACTTGAATTTGTGAATTCTCGGCAATTATTTTTAATATGTAGTTTATTGTTTTAAAATATGATAACCGGCTCGCATGTTATTCTTGTGACTTGTTTGGATTAACTTTTATGTAAAATTGTGTGGACTCCAATAAATGGTTTATTCGAGTCTAAGTCTAAGAGTTCCAAAGTCCACAGGACTTCACGAACAACTTAGTCGAATCAAGTTCGACTACGTCTGATTTGTGTTTTCCATTTAAGTCAAGATAGATGTTGATTGTAGAATCTTGACAATGTAGGTTTCTTGAGGCGCTGAATTCACTCTTCATTCGAGATTGGTGATTGTGAATTGTCGCTTCAATAAGGTGGGTACATTTGTGTCGTATCCATAATTATCGCACTCATTATTTCGTATAAATGTTTCATTTAAAAAAATTATTGTATGCTTGAGAACCCTAGTCTAAATGTCCCGTTTGGTAGTTCCTTTGATGAATACATAAACAGTGAAAAGTCAACGGCCCGTAGTCGATTCGGAGAGGTGACGCCCCGGTCCGTATGATATTCGTGAAGGGGAAAAACAACTCTACTTTCTCCTGGAAACGATCCCAAGCCCGTACTTATATTCGGTGATGGGAATGTTTCCAGTTACTTCCTTGCCGTGTTGTGATCGGAAGGTTGTTGTATGCACATAGGAGGTTT